AAATAAAGGAAGAAAAAAAGAAGAAGAAGGCAAACTAGACAGGTAGGTGTGTTGGCAAACAGGTTTAATCCCAATATTTGGCAGGCAGAGAGACAGGAGGATTGCAAATTTGAGGCCAGCCTAAGTTGTATAGTAAGTTCTAGGCCAGCCTGGGTTGCATAATGAGAACCTGCCTCAAAACAACACAAATAAGCAAAACAAACAAAGGAAGAGGAAGAGAGATGTGAATGGCTAAGTTACACTAACTTTTTTGGCAAGTACTTCAAATAAAAAACAAGAATGATTCAAAAATTTGCATGTCACCTTTGTGCAGAGGTCATACTACTACTATTTGTTCTATTTTTCCAATTTGAGTATATGTGCTGTCAAAGCTAGAGAACTGCATGGAGAATGGGAGAATCCTACTTTGCCTTTATTATCCTCTGGATTTTCGTTTTTGGTGCAGCAGAGCATGTTAAATTTGTATTGAAAAACTGACTTACAACTGTAACTCACTGTTTTTCTACTTGTATATGTTCTTGTTTTTAAATTTCTAAGTTGACAGTCTTTCAGCATTAAAAAAATGCCATTCTATTATCTTTTAGCACGCATGGCTTCAGATGAGAAATCCATTATTACTCTTGTTTGTGTACATAGTGTATTTTTCCTCTGGCTTCTAAGATTTCTCTTTAAAGCATCCCGGTGAGTCTGGGGTCTTTCAATCATTACTTTTGGCAATCTTTTTTTTTTTTTTTGTCAGTTATGAGGCTTGAACTCAGGACTTGGGCGCTGACCCTGAGTTTTTTTTGCTCAAAGCTAGTGCTCTACCACTTTGAGCCTCAGCTCCTCTTTCGGTTTTCTAGTGGTTAACTGGATATAAGAGTCTCATGACTTTCCTGCTTTGACCACCATCCTTAGAACTCAGCATCCTGAGTAGATAGGATAGGATTACAAGAGTAAGCAACTAGTGCCAGGCAAATCCTGGGTTTTTGCTGGTTAACTGGAGATAAGAGTCTCTGGAGGGCTAGGAAGATGTCTCAGCCGTAGAGTGCTTGCTTTGCATGCATGAGGCCCTGAGTTTGATTCCTCAATAACACATAAACAGAAAAAGCCGGAAGTGGTGCTGTGGCTCAAATGGTAGAACGCTAGCCTTGGAAGAGCTGAGGGATAGCGTCCAGGCTCAGAGTTCAAGCCCTATGACCAACAACAACAAAAAGTCTCTGGGATGTTTCTTCGTGGGCTAGCTTTGAACTGAGATCCTCAGATAATATCAGCCTCCTTAGTAGCTAGGCCTAAAAGTGTGAACCTCTGACACCCAGCTTACTTAGCAATTTAATTATGCTGGATGTTGGAGTATATATTATTTGTTGCATTTATAATAATTGTGATTGGCTTAACCTTATAGATCTGAGTTAGGGTTTTCATTAACTATAAAAACAATTGGGCCAGGTAGGTGATGAACACCTATAAACCAAGTTTTCTCTTGAAGCCAAAGAATGTGATAGCAGACAGGGACATGCTATATTGAATATTAAAGTTAATGTGAAGAACTAGATAACAGTGTAAACAAATGTGGTGTTTATTAATTTTGGTTTTTATTCATACTTCTTTTTATATAGTAAAGAAAATGAACTTCTAAAACATGTGATAATTTCATCAACAAAATCTTTTGTTCTCCTGCCTCCACCTTATTTGTCTTCAGACAAATAAATTTTAAATTTCCATTGTTCTAATTTTACATTCACTACCCTTTGTTTTCTTTTTCCCTACAGGGTCTTATCTGCTGTAAATCCCACAGATTATTCTTTTTTTTTTTTGTTAGTCGTGGGGTCTGAACTCTGGGCATGGGTGCTGTCCCTCAGCTCTTCAGCTCAAGGCTATGCTCTACCACGTGAGCCATAGCGCCACTTCCGGCTTTTTCTGCTTATATTGGGCTGAGGAATTGAATTCAGGGCCTCATGCATGCAAGGCAAGCACTCTACCACTGAGCCACCTTCCCAGCTCCAGATTTTTCTTGTTGTTGTTGTTGTTTGTTGGTTGTGGGACTTAAATTTTGGGCTTAGGAGCTGTCCCTCGGCTCTTCAGCGCAAAGCAAGCACTCTACCACTTGAGCTACAGCACCGCTTCTGGTTTTCTGGTGGTTTTATTGGAGATAAGAGTCTCATGGCCTTTCCTGCCCTGGCTGGCTTTGAACTGTGATTCTCAGATCTCAGCCTCCTAAGTAGCTAGGATTACAGAGGTGAGCCACCAGTGCCTGGCCAGATTATTTTCCTAGATTTCAATACAGGTTTAGTATTAGTTTTGTTTCTAAACTTATTTTCTTTTTGTTGGTCCTGGGGCTTGAACTCTGGGCTTGGGCGCTATCCCCTCAGCATTTCAACTCAAGGCAAGCGCTCTACCATTTGAGCCACGGTGACACTTCTGGTTTTCTGGAGGTTTACTGGAGATAAGAGTCTCACAGACTTTTCTGCCCAGGCTGGCTTTGAACTGAAATCCTCAGATCTCAGTCTCCTGAGTAGCTAGGATTATAGGTGTGAGCCACCGACACCTGGCTTCTAAACATTTCAACTGACAAAAATGTATATATTTATCATGTACATGTTTGAACATGTTATGATGTGTCTATATCAAGATAATTAACATGTGTACCTCACAAACTTAATTTTTTTTCTGTTTTTGTCGGTCATGGGGCTTGAACTCTGGGCCTGAGTGCTGTCCCTGAGCTCTTCAGCTCAAGATGAGAACTCTACCACTTGAGCCACATCGCCACTTCCCGTTTTCTAGTGGTTTATTGGAGATAAGAATCTCATGGACTTTCCTGCCCAGGCTGGCTTTGAACTATAATCCTCAGATCTCAGCCTCCTGAGTAGCTAAGATTACAGGTGTGAGCCATCAGAGCTCGGCAACAAACAATTTTTTGTATGTGAGAACACTTAAAAGTTTACTCTCAGTGACATTTCAAGAATAGATTTTAGCAGGGCGCTGGTGGCTCACGCCTGTAATCTTAGCTACTCAGGAGGCTGAGATCTGAGGATCTCGGTTCAAAGCCAGCCCAGGCAGGAGAGACCGTGAGACTCCTATCTCCAATAAACCACCAGAAAACCGGAAGTGGCGCTGTAGCTCAAGTGGTAGAGCGCTCGCCTTGAGCTGAAGAGCTGAGGGACAGCGTCCAGGCCCAGAGTTCAAGCCCCACGACCGACCAAAAAAAAAAAAAAAGAGGGCTGGGAAGTTGGCTCAGTGGTAGAGTGTTTGCCTTGCATGCCTGAGGCCCTGGGTTTGATTCCTCAGCACCATATAAGCAAAAAGAAAAAAAAAAGCCAGAAGTGGCGCTGTGGCTCAAGTGGTAGAGTGCTAGCCTTGAGGGACAGCACTCAGGCCCAGAGTTCAGGCCCCACAACTGGACAAAAAAAAAAAAAAAAAAGATTTTATTGGTGCTGGGAAGGTGACAGTGGTAGAGCACTTGCCTTGCGTGTCTGAGGCCCTGGGTTCGATTCCTTAGTACCACATAAGCAAAAAGAAAAAAGCTGGAAGTGGCACTGTGGCTCAAGTGGTAGAGCACTAGCCTTGAGCTGAAGAGCTGAGGGACATCGTCCAGGCCCAGAGTTCAGGCCCCACGACCAGACCCAAAAAAAAAAAACAAAAGAAAAGAAAAGAATAGCTTTTTATTAACTATAATGTATCCAGTAAATGTATCCAGCCTTTCTTTCTTTTTTTTTTTCTATCTCTCTCTTTCTCTACCGGTGCTGGGTATCAAATTCAGGGACATCTCTACTATTGAGTTACTTTCTCAATCCTTGATTTTGTTTTTGCCGGTTGTGGGGCTTGAACTCTGGGTTTGGGCACTGTCCTTGTGTCTTCAGTTCAAGGCCAGTGCTCTACTGCTGAGCCACAGCACCACTTCTGGTTTTCTAGTGGTTTATTGGAGATAAGAAGCTCACAGACTTTACCGCCAGGGCTGGCTTTGAACTGTAATCCTCAGATCTCAGCCTCCTGAGGAGCTAGGATTACAGGGGTGAGCTACCAGCGCCTTTTTTTTTGGATAAACGTTTATTTGTAAATTTAGTCAACATACATAATTGACCTAAAAACTTCAATAGAAGGATGAACTTGAAAGGCCATCTCTAGAAAAGGGATTTTCCTAAGACAGTCACCAGAAGTAACCTAACCAAACACCACCTCGAATCAGCGAATCAGCACAGGTAATCAGCTGCATCTGCAACGCTCCTCCCCCATCCAGGTTTACACTAAACTCCACAAGGAAAAGAACAAACCTTGGTATTATTTCCTCTAAAGGAGAGAGAAAAAAAAATCCTCAAGCCTAGCTTTGAAATCAACCACAACACAATGAAAAGCTGCACTAACTAGCTTAGATTAATAAGAGATGATGCTGGTGCGAATAACTTATTCTAGAGCCCTTATAAATAAAATCTCCCTTAGTGTTTGTATTACCAGCTAGAGGGTTAGTTAACATGTGGTAGAATGAGGACTTATGCAAGGTATTAATATGCAGACAGCATTAAACTATGAAAACAAGTGCAGTCTTGTTAGGAGAAAACCAACTGGACTCTAAATTATACACACCTTAATGACAAGACTCCCCACCACTTGTGGATGTGAAACATTTAATTTAAAAATGTTGACACTACAATATATAAAATAGCTATTATAAATGCACATAGTGTATTCTATAGCTGTCAGGTTTACTTTTTTTTTTTTCCTTAAGGAAACTGTTAGTTACACTGTGGTTAAGACTTGTATCTTCACCCTTGAAAAAGCCCACATTCTATCACAGTGATGTATGGTCAGACTTAACAGCCCCGATTGTTAAACACTTGGATCAAGTTATAACCAGTTTTATTGCAGAAGGACCCTGTACATATTGATCAATTCTAGTACCTTAATAGCTACCCAACAAGTCATTAACATACAGAAACATGCATCATGAGAAGCAAGAAGTATCATCCATCCCTTCTGCATATTAGCAACTTGTCACTCTCCTGAGCCAGGGCGCTCCACTGAGATCTGTGAACAGTCACTTTCCCGTTCATCCTGAGTGAAAGATGGAATGACTTAAGTACAAATGCAACATATTATAAACAATTTCTTACAAAAAAAAGTCACAAATTAAACCAAAGTATTTTACAGAATTTATACAAAACGCCATAAAAACTGCCTTCACTTAAGCTCTCTCTCCCGTATCCGGCGAGCCAGCTGGATGTCTTTGGGCATGCTGGTGACTCTTGGCGTGGATGGCACACAGACTGGTATCTTCAAACAGACCCACCAGGTACGCTTCACTAGCCTCCTGAAGCGCACCGATGGCCGCGCTCTGAAACCTCCGGTCCGTTTTAAAATCCTGGGCAATCTCTCTCACCAACCTCTGGAAAGGCAGCTTTCGGATGAGAAGCTCAGTGGATTTCTGATAACGACGAATCTCTCCAAGAGCCACAGTGCCAGGCCTGTAGCGATGGGGCTTTTTCACCCCGCCGGTAGAGGGCGCGCTTTCCTGGCAGCCTGGTGGCCAGCTGCTTGCGGCGGGGGTGGCCAGCTGCTTGCGGGGGGGCTTCACAGCAGTGGATTTACGAGCAGTCTGCTTGGTTCGGGCCATTTTCTCTCACCCAAAGACGAAGTTTCAGGCCGTTTTTCGGACCACCGCGCCGCCGCTGTTGCCCAGTCAGTGAAGAGCTGCAGTTGGCAAGCTAAGGGACGATACTACCCCCAACGAACCACCAAACCGCTCTGCGCTCCCAGCGCCTGGTTTTTTGAGCTAGGTTCTCACTATGTTACTTAGGCTGGCCTTGAATCTTTTTTTCCAGTCCTGGGGCTTGAACTCTGGACCTGGGTGCTGTCCCCAAGCTTCTTTTGATCCAGGCAAGCACTCTACTATTTGAGCCACAGAGCCACTTCTAGCTTTTTTGAGTAGTTTGTTAGAGATCAGAGTCTCAAGCAGTTTCCTGCCCAGGCTGGCTTCAAACCACAATCCTTAGATCTCAGCTTCCTGAGTAGTAGCTAGGATTACAGGCGTGATCCACCACCAGAGCCAGGCTGGCCTTGAATTCTTGATCCTGCTTCCAACTCCCAAATGAGATTACGTGTGCGCGTGCACGCGCACCTCCTACCATGTCAAGCTAGATCTTTTAAAACTAATGAAATTTCTTTCTTTTTTCTTATTTGCCTATCCTGGGCCTTGAACTCTGAGCCTACGTGCTGTCCCTAAGCTCCTTTTGTCCAAGGCTAGCACTCTACCACTTGAGCTACAGTACCGCTTCCAGCTTTTTCTGTGATTAATTGGAGATAAAGGGCTCACTGACTTTCTTGTCTAGGCTGACTTTGAACTGTGTTCCTCAGTTCTCACCTCCTGAGCAGCTAGGATTACAGGCATGAGCCACCAGCACCCAGCTTAAAACTAATGTAATTTCTAGAAATAAAAATTACTGTCTTCTAGGTGCAAATTTCATTGGATGGCTGAGAGTGGAGGTATACCACAGTGTTCAGGTGATAGAGGCAAGAGGATCCTGAGTTCAAAGCTTGCCTGGGATACATTGTGATTTGAGACCAATTTGGATGACAAAGTGGTACCTTGTGTAAACAATACTAACAACAAACTTTTCTTTCTCTCCTACACTTATGTTTACTTTAAATATTTCTACATTTTAAAAAATCAGTCATGGGGCTTGAACTCTGGGCCTGAACGCTGTCCCTGAGCTCTTCAGCTCAAGGCTAGCACTCTACCACTTGAGCCACAGCACCACTTCCTGTTTTCTGGTGGTTTATTAGAGATCAGAGTTTCACGGCCTTTCCTGCCCAGGAAGCTTTGAACCACTATCCTCAGATCTCAGCCTCCTGAGTAGCTAGGATTATAAGCGTGAGCCACTGGCGCCCTGCTGAAATATTTCTACATATTTTTAAATGTCCTATTTGGTAGTTTCATCATCTCTGTCACATCTAGGTTAGTTTCTATTGACTGATTTTATTATCTGGTTATGAATAATACTTTGCTGCTTCTTCCCATGGCTAGTAACTTGAATACTGGACAAATATGTTACTTTATTCATCTTTAATAACTGTTGGACTTTGTTTTTGCACAGAAATTATTCACAGATCAGTTTGACTCCTTGAAGACCTATTTTTTCAACTTTGCTATCAAAGTCTAGCATAGCCTTGACTCGAGGGAGAGTTGTTTTATTACTAAAGTGTGACATTTAGGGTCTTCATTCAGTGTAGGCCCTGGATGGTCATTCAAGATCTTCATTCTGGTTAAGCAAGCAAATCTTTTATGTATCTTTCCTCATGCCATGTGGGTTCCAAGCAATGTTTTCTGACTCTCGCCATCTTTGTCTTGTCTTTTATTTATTTATTTTTAATCAGTCATGGGGCTTGAACTCTGGGCCTGGGCACTGGTCCCTCAGCTCTTCCGCTCAAGGCTAGCACTCTTCCACTTGAGCTACAGCGCCACTTCTGGTTTTCTGGTAGTTAATTGGAGATGAGTCTCACTGACTTTCCTGCCTGAAAGGTGTGTGTGTGTATGTGTTCCACTTGAGCCACAGCGCCACTTCTGGTTTTCTAATAGTTAATTGGAGATGAGTCTCACCGACTTTCCTGCCTGAAAGGTGTGTGTGTGTATGTGTGTGTGTGTGTGTGTGTTTGCGTGCATGCCTGGACAGGAAAAGTTAGTGAGACCTTTATCTCCAATTAATCACAGAAAAATCTAGAAGTGGTGCTGTAGCTTGAGTAGTAGAGTGCTAGCCTTGAGCAAAAGGAACTTAAGAGACAGCACCTAGGCTCAGAGTTCAAGGCCCAGGACAAACAAGAAAAACAAAACTCAGCCTCCTGAGTTGTTAGGATGTCAGGCCTGAGCCACCATCGCCCAGCTGTCCTATCAGCAAAGATGGCAGAGGTTCTACAGGTGTTCTTTTAGAGTTCTTTTTTGGTCTAAAACTATGCCCTGCAATCTCCACCTGCCTTGAGCTCTCTAAAATTGCTGTGTGTCTCCTCCATTCAGCAAGGCCACTGGCCTTTGTGGCTTCTCCCTTCTTTTCCTGTGTCTCAGAAAACTGCTGCCAGGCAGAAGGGCAGGCTTCCGCTCCTTTGCTTTCACTCAGGTTTATGGTCCTGGGCTGACTATTGTCATGTCTGAAAAAAAGACTGCCTTCATTAATTTTGTCCTCATTTCTAGTGTTAATCTGGTCCTCAATAAATGATAAAAGGAAAGGCTACTGATGAATAACACTAGAGAAAAACTCAAGCAACCTCTTATAATAATCTCTAAATAATATCTGCTGGTGAATAAACTATTCCATGATTAAAACAAAAATATGGACCTTGTCACTCTAGCAGGGTTAGACATAGAAGTCTGAGAGTTTTTTTATTTTTTGGGTTTAGTCGTGGGGCCTGAACTCTGGGCCTGGGCGCTGTCCCTCAGCTCTTCAGCTCAAGGCTAGCGCTCTACCACTTGAGCCACAGTGCCACTTCAGCTTTTTTCTTTTTGCTCATGTGGTGCTGAGGAATCGAACCCAGGGCCTCAGGCATGCAAGGTAAGTGCTCTACCACTGAGCTACCTTCCCAGCCTCAGAAGTCTGAGAGCTTTTTAAAGTTCCTTAATTTCCAAGGTCCTGTTGTATAGTCCAAGAACCAGTAGAGAGTCCCAATACACACTGACTACATCCAATTTATTTATTTTTTGGAGCAAGGGTTGTAAATCTACAGGCCAGAGCCAGGCCATGAGTTATTTCTGTATGGCTGGCAAGTGAGAATACCTTTTGCATTTTTTACAGGATTGTGGGGAGAAAGAAGGAATGTGCGACAGAGACTACTTATCTATTATGGTAAGTTGTCTGTTATGGTCTAGGGGTCGGGTTTGTTGTAACAAAAACTTGAAGGAAAGGACACAAGAAGAGGGGTTAGAACTTAAGAGCTTTATTGCAGGAGCCAAATCAGTTGAAAACAAAGTAACAGACTCCTCTAGAGAGGAGTTCCACCAGAGAATTATGAAGCAGAAGTGGGAGTACAGACAAAGTTTATTTCAAAAGAAGAGTAAGATGCCAGGAGAACAGAGGAAAAGCCTTTTAGCTATTGGTGGGTTGATTAAACCCCCAATCCAAACTTCTAACTAGGTCTGCTTTGTGTCATATGAGGTCTTATCCATCTGCTTGGGAGAGGGGAAGGAGAATACAGACTTCTTGGTGTAAGAGCAAGAAGTGGGGCAAAGAAATAAGTAGCCCCACTGTGTGTGTGTAGGGCCCTCTATAGTCTCTCTGGTGTGTCTAGGCTGTTCAGGCATCTGATTGAATCACTACCTCACCCCAAGGGGCGGGAGGGTACCTTCCCCTCCTTGGGTCTTCTTCCAGGGCTGTCAAGGTCTTTATTTTCTCAGAGCCATCATCTTGACTTTCCCAGGGGAAGGAGTATAAACTCCACCCTTTAATCTCTGCTTTCCCAAGGTCTCTCAGAAGAGGAGGAGGTAATGACTCCTCAGGCAGGCTCTGCTTTCCCAGAGTCCCCAGGAAAGGGGTGGGGGAGGGCAGAAAGGGAAGGGGGGTGTCAGCTCCACTGGGTGGCTGTCTACACTGCCAGCACAATTCTAAACCTCCCTTGTGACCAACAAAGATTAAAATGTTTACTCCTGGCCCTTGATAGAAAATGTTTGCTGACTCAATCTAGCAGGCGAGCCTGGGAACTTGGTTTTAAAAAGGTTTCAAAGTGATTGTGTTGTCTACAACACCAGGCCCATTGATAGACTAGCACTTGGGATCACTAGACTATGGAGAAGAATGTGATCTTTGAAGCAGGATAGAGCTTGTTGTGACTTTGCAGACCTGCTCTTCTCTCATTGGTTAAGTGCTTCTGATGAAAGCTACCAAGTGTCCTAGCTAGTATCACCTCCCCATGTCTGTTCCAAACCTTTCCACTATCCTCATAATTAGTCCATCAGTAGACTGAGCATGCATTTCCTTCAAATGACACTGCAATATTTACACTAATTATAATAGTTTAAAATTTTATCTTATTGCATATCAAAATGGATCAAACCCTGGGCCCTGTGTATGCTGAGCCATGTGCTGGCCCACTGGGGTTATTTCCAGAAGCAGTATTTTTGTATGTGTTAGTACCAGGGCTTGAACTCATGCTCTCATTTAGTGTCACACTGGTGCTGTACCACTTGAGCCATGTGTCCACTTCTGACTTTTTGTTGGTTGATTGGAAGTAAGAGCCTCTTAGATTTGTGTGGCTGTGATAGCTTCAAACCAAGATTCTCAAATCTGTTTCCTGAGTACTAGGATAACAGGTGTGAGTCATCAGTACCAGGCTAACCAAGTTTGTTTTTTTAAAACTTGAACCTTTCTTCTAAATACACACATAATTGTTACTTTTAGAAGAAAATCCATCTCCCCAACTTATGCCATATTGCCATTACCTTTCTTTCAAGTTTTCAATGAACTTTGACTTCCCTAATGTCATCATTTCCCTTCCTCTCTTACTTCTCTGTTAGACATAGTCCAGGATGGTCTGGAGCTCTTCATGTATCCGTCTTCCTAGTTCTGTGATTACAAGTTGTTATCACTCTGCCTGGTACTCTTGAACTTCTTTTTTTTTTTTCTGTTGTAGGGCTTGAACTCTGGGCCTGGACACTGTCCCTCTGCTCCTCAGCTCAAGACAAGCATTCTACCACTTGAGACACAGTACCACTTTGTTTTCTGGTGATTAATTGAAGCGACTCACAGACTTTCCTGCCTGGGCTAGCTTTGAACTGCAATCCTTAGATCTCAGCCTCCTGAGTAGCTAGGATTACAGGCATGAGCCACTGGTGCTTGGATCTTCAACTCTTTTATCTGTAAATTTGCTGTTTGTATTCATATTCTATTATTAAAATGATCCAAACTGAAAGCCAAATTTCAAACACAAAACCTCTTGGCTTGTAGGATGTCATATTCTCCGGTATTCCAAACCTAGAGTATGTTTAATCCCCTTAGTGCAAAGATTTGACAGGTTATGATTGGAAAATCTTTTAATGCTACCTGCAGCTTAAGGAATTAAATTTGAGCCCCTAGCTTGATATGTAAGGCACTGCAGCAGTAGCTTCCCTGGCCTCTATCCTGTACCTACTCCTTTATTCCAACATGATGGCTTGCTTACTGTTTTCTAAACATTGCTGGTGCTTTGTATTTTACTATTTTTCTTTCAAAGCCCTTTTTTTTTTTTTTGTCGGTCATGGAGTCTGAACTCTGGGCCTGGGCGCTGTCCCTCAGCAATTCAGCTCAAGACTCTACCACTACCACTACAATACCACTACACAAGACTCTACACTCCCACTACACCACAGCGTCACTTTCAGCTTTTTCTGCTGTTGTGGTGCTGAGGAACTGAACCCAGGGCCTCATGCATACGAGGCAAGCACTACACCACTGGGCTACCTTCCCAGCCCCTTAAATGCTTCTTTCTGTTGTCCCAACCTATTCAGGGGCTTAAAGGAGGCTCATGTGAGTCCGAGCATTCAAGACCCACATAGGTAACATATTAAGACCTTGACTCTTTTCTCTGTAATTAGGATGCCACCAGCCTTTTGCTCAGACCTCTGATAAATATAAGTAAATAAATAAATATATATTTTTTGGTTGGTCATGGGGCTTGAACTCCAGGCCTGGGCGCTGTCCCTGCACTCTTCAGCTCAAGGTGAGTGCTCTACTGCTTGAGCCACAGCGCCACTTCCAGTTTTCTAGTGGTTTATTGGAGATAAGAGTCTCACAGACTTTCTTGCCAGGGCTGGCTTTGAACTGTGATCCTCAGATCTCAGCCTTCTGAGTAGCTAGGATTACAGGCTTGAGCCACTGGCAGCTGGGTTCTGGCCTGTTTATAGGCCAGCATAAAAACCTTAACTTGCTCCAAACCAAACGGTTCACCACCTGTTTCCCAAATGAGAAGCCATGTGACCTACTTGAACATTTTGTGAGGTGCTGGAAATATCTGACACCAGAGAACTATAACAACTGTGAACTCCCACTGCCTCCTATACCAGTCAGTAAAGAATATCCATTATCAAGAAATATTTTAGTACAGGTAGACCCATTGCAACAATGAGACGTACAAGTCATTATGTCAAAAACGAACTTTACAACTTTGGTGGCGGGGGAGGAGGGTTGGGTGGGGGGGGCGGGGGGAGGATCGGATGGGAAGGGGAAACAAAGGAGGCTACAATGCTTGATAAGAAATGTACTCATTATCTTGCCCATGTAATTATAACCCCTCTGTACAGTATTTTCATAATTAAAAAAAAAAGAAATATTTTAGCTACTTGAGAAAATATAAAACAAGGCAGACTAGAAAATTAGGAATTTATTAACTGGTCTGCTAGGAAGTAAAACCCGGTTTATGAGAGGGGAAATAAAAAAACAAACACTACTCTAAGTCTCACAACATAGGGACAGTGGTCATTAGCTGGGCTACACTAGTTTCATCAAATTTCACTGGTCATCCTCAGCCACTGGTATTACAGAGTTCAGTGTTTTTTCCTTATACTGGTCCTCCTCCTTGTATGTCTCATGAATCACAATGCTGATCCCCTCCTCTGCTTACATCACACAATACCTAAGACCTAAATGTTCTTTCTACTGCCAGGCAGTGGTGATTCACACCTGTAATCCTAGCTACTCAGGAGGCTGAGATCTGAGGATCACAGATTGAAGCCAGCCCCGGCAGGACCATTTGTGTGACTATCTCCAATTAACCACCAGAAAACTGGAAGTGGGCTGTGGCCCCAAAGGGTACAGCCTGGAGCAAAAGAGCTTAGGGAAAACTGCCTAGGCCCTGAGTTCAAGCTCCATAACCAACCAAAACTCAACCCCCCTATTTTTCTCTAAGTCCAACACCAGAAACTGCCTTTGACAACAGATCCCATCCCTTACATACATGCTCTATTTTTTTCTTTTTAACAAATGGTCACACGAGAGAAATACAACTTGAGTAACAGGGTATTATGAGGTTCATTTGACTTTTTGTATCTTTTCCTTTTTCTTTAGGATTTTAGCCTTACAATTTGGCTGACCCAGTAAACTTACTGCTATACTTACTTTTTTGCCAGGTATCTCATTTGACTAGCTCTTTGGTTCAGAATATTTGTCTGCTAAAAGATTTCCAGAGGGGCTGGGTGAAGGTGCTCAGTGGTAGAGTGCTTGCCTTGCATGCCTGAGGCCCTGGGTTCGATTCCCCAGTACCACATAAGCAAAAAGAAAAGAGCTGGAGTGGCGCTGTGGCTCAAGTGGTAGAGTGCTAGCCTTGAGCTGAAGAGCTGAGGGACAGCACCCAGGCCCAGAGTTCAGGCCCAATGACCGGACCGCCCCCCCCCCAAAAAAAAAAGATTTCTAGAATTTGGTTTTATGTAAAAGAAAAATAATTAAGCCTCAACTTGGCAAGTACGATCAGGGCCAAGGAAAGTATTAGGTCAGCCAGAATTTAGCTTGACTGCCAATCTGAAACCATCAGCAGAAAACCATCCTTAGAATTCTGATCTCAACCCAGGCCAGTGATATATAGCATTATACATTTTAGGAATGCTGGGCACTGAGCCAGCCAGCCACCCACGTCACAAGGGGAACCCACACTCTACTATGTTGTTCGGTTTATTTTTTTGTGCCATTCCTGGGCCTTCAACTTAGGGGCTAAACATTTTTTTCCTTTTTTGAAGGCTAGTGTTCAGCCACAGTTCCACTTCGGGCTTTTTGATGGTTAACTGGAGATAAGACTTATCAACTTTCCTGCTTGGGCTGGCTTCAATCCATGATCCTCAGATCTCAGCCTCCTCCTTGTACAGTAGCCAGTTACAGGCGTAAGATATCAGCACCTGACAAATTTACAGTTAATGCATTTGGACTTAACATTTTAAACTTGTGATAGATTTATTGGGACATCACTCCATCACAAGCAGAAAAGTATGTCTGTGTCAATAGTAGCCAGTTGGGCATGGTCACACATGCCTGTAACCCTAGCTACTTGAGAGGTGGAGATCCAGAAGAAGAGGCTAGGCCAGGAAAAAAGCTAGTGAGACCCACATCAACAAACATCTGGGTGTGGTGGCTGAGGTCTTTAATCCCAACCTTTAAGTAGACTCAGGTAGGAAGATCCAGGTAGGTGAGCCACAGGCAAATAATATAACCTTACCTTAAAAAAAAAAAAAAAAAAGTAGCAGTAGAGTGCTTGCCTGTGAGTTGCAGGCCCAGAGTTCAAAATCCAGTATCTAGGAAAAAAAAAAGGTATGAACACTGACACTCTGAGACTCATTAATTGTTGAAACAATGAGGTAGAAGCTTATTAGCTTCCTCTTAATCAAAACAAAGTGATTAGCATACATAGAAACTTTCTTCAAATTCTTTGTGTGGAAGCCTACTGGTTTAAAAACTGGTAATGCTTTCCAAGAAAACATAATATGCGGCAAAGAAAAGTCACTCAGTAAGAAAATATAACTAAACAACATTTATTTACTTTGCACTAAGACTTTATCTGAGTACATAACTAAATTGTTTCCACCCCACCCCATCTTGAAGGGTTAGTTTGTGAATGTTATAAAGTAGATAGGAACAGTTTGAAGGACTGGAACCAACATTAACTGACAATGAACAACTTCCATCTAAATCATCATAAAAATGTTTAAGTAAAAAAAAGAAAAAGAAAAAAAAAAGATACAATGAGGGCCTTCAATAGAAAGATCCTCATTTCATCTAATACATTCGCTCTTGGCTAGACTGTAACAAAATGGAAACAGCATTACTGTTAATACAAACTCCCACTATAGCACATTGTACACACCTTTGTTCCAAGCCCACCCCCTGTGCCCTAATGCTTCCAACTCAATTATTTCCCAGCCTGTTGGGCCTGCCGACGAAGGAGTACGTAGATCTTCTCTTTGATCCAATCTTTGTTATAAGGCTGGTATGTCTGGGTATCAGCTCGGTAACTGGGAAACAGAAAGGTAATAAGTTATAGTACTTGTTATATTTACAGCCTCAGTTTATAATGCCCAAATGATGGCCCTGATTTCCACACATGACCTACACTAAAATAATGGGAAAAGTTGCATACATAGCTGCTGAATTTAGCCAATATGAACTTTACATTATGTAGTGTAATATTACAGTGGAGAAAGAAACTAAGGCCTAGAGCTCTTTAGTCACTCATTGTTTCTTATCTACTTCTCAACAGTTTGACTAAAAGCCATGTGTTCTTTCTCCCACGCAGCTTCTATTTTCATAGTTCCTTTATTGATTACAAAACAAAAACCAAACATTAGTACAATTGTTAGATTGGCTACACTGATTTTGAATTAGTAAATCTTTAATAAACACTAGAGACCTATGGAAGAGAATTATCAGAACACATATAGCAAGAGCAAAAGCAGTCATATAACATGACATAGAACTGTAATCTTTCCATACATACTTAAAAAAAAAAAACCACATAGCAAGCCCCAAAATATCTCTTATCAAAAGTGAAGGGAAGGGAAGCACTGGTGGCTCACACCTGTAATCCTAGCTACTCAGAAGATTGTGATCCAAGGATCTCAGATCAAAGCCAGTTTGGGCAGGAAAGGGTGTGAGACTCTTATCTCCAATCAATCACCAAAAAGCCAGTGGAGCTAGCTGGAGTGGTAGAGCTAGCCTTGAGTGGGGAAAAAAAAAAAAAAAAAGACAAATCTTCCACCTGTCCCAAAACTGAACCCTAGCTGGCTAAGTAATATATTCTTTTTGAAGTCTCCAGCTAAAACATAGCATAAAAAAGCAGACATAAACCACCAGCTGTTGCATGAATACACAGCATATATTGCAACATTTCTAAGCTGTGTGCATGCACCACCTGGTGGGAACACCTGCGTAGCATCCAAGAAAGGTCAAAGATGTAGTCTGAATTTATAGCTCCACCTAGTTTGCCTAAAGACTCCTAAAAGATATCTCAGATTTATCAACCAGTATTTCATTGCTGCCCCCTAAAAAATGTAAGTATGATAAGTGAAGCAACTTAGTAAAGTGATGCTGGGTGAAGAAGTAAGCAAAATATACTCCTGATGCTAGCGTGGCAATTTTGGCAAGAGAAATAAACTCCGAAGCAGAAATGCTTTATATAATTAACATCCTATCTTTCCTATGAATGGTAAGATTAAAAGCTTGCTATTAAAAATGTACAAGGTGGGCTGGGAAGTTGGCTCAGTGGTAGAGTGCTTGCCTTGTATACATGAGGCCCTGGGTTCAATTCCTCAGCACCACATAAGCAGAAAAAGCTGGAAATAGTGCTGTGGCTCAAGTGGTAGAGTGCTCACCTTGAGCTGAGGGACAGTGCCCAGGCCCAGAGTTCAGGCCCCATGATCGATGAAGAAAAAAAAAAAAAAAAAGCACAAGGCTAGCTGAGCACCAGTGGCTCTTACCTGTAATCCTAGTTACTCTGGTTCACAGTTTAAAGCCAGCCCAGGCAGGAAAGTTCATGAAACTCTTATCTCCAATAAACCACTAGAAAACTGGAAGTGGTGCTGTGGCTCAAATGGTAGAGTCCTTGCCTTGAGCTGAAGGAAGAGCTGAGGGACAGGGCCCATGCCTAGAGTTCAAGCCCCACGACCAACAACAAAAACCAACCAACCAAACGAACAAAAAAAAGCACAAGCTTTCCATGTTACAAAATGCTTAACTAAATAAAAAGTAACATTCAGTTCTTTACTATTATCTTTGTTATGAAAAGCTAAATAAGTTTTGACCTTACTATTCATGTTTGCTTATTAAGTAAGTGCTAATCTTGTCCATTTCAAGGAGTTGAAGATTTGTAGTAACATTGAAAAAAAAAAACAACTACAAAAGGAATAGTTTTTCAGAACTATGTTATCCATATCCCAATGATTGTCAACATTTAGGGATCCATCAATCTGCATGCTAGTTTCTAACTCATGGAATAGTAATGATGTCTTTAAGGGCTGTTAACCCACACTTGAAAAATGAGACAATTAAATATAAGTACATTAGTAATATTAATAGCTGTTGGTATGGACCTTTTTTTTTTTTTACAGCTTTGCTATGGTTATGTAAGAACCAAATCTGAGGGTCTGAGCAGTGCCTCTACAGACCCCAAGCTGTCTTCCTGATCTGCAGTAGCTCTCCTTATTTACATTAATACAAGATGAAGATGCACCTCCATCTCTAAACAAGCAAAGCTTGTATACTCAAAACACTTACTAAAAAAATACCTTACATTATATAAGTGTAACCCCTCTGTACGTTACCTTTTCCAAAACAAATTTTTTTTCTCTTTTTATTTCTGTTTGTGTGTGAATTGTGAAGCTTGAACTCAGGGCCTGGGTGCTGTCCCTGCGCCTCTGTACTCAAGGCTAGAGCGCTACCACTTGAGCTACATTTCCACTTCTTAATTTTATTTTTGTTTATGTGGTACTGAGGAATCAAACCCAGGGCTTCACGCACACTAGGCAAGCACTCTACTACTAGGCCACATTCCCACCCCCTGTACATTACCTTTGTTATAACAATAAAAACCCACAAAAAAAACTTACAGCTCAGAAACTGAAAAATCCATATTGTAACTATATATGATATCTAAGTTTTTACCTAAATCTTATTAATACACAGCCAGATTGTCTCAGGCTTATTTTATAAAATAAAACTTTACTACAATTCCTCCTATACTGTTTTTTAGTCTAGACTTTCTTTTTGCCTTTCAGTGCCAGGGGAGACTGAACCCAGGATTTTGTGTGTGCTAGGCAAGTGCTTTTACCATACTAAACTACCACCAACTAGTGGCTCACACCTGTAAGTGTGGCTTTATAGTTTATGATCTATATGTAAATGAACATTCATTACTATTTAGTACATAAAATCCAAAGATTAGTGTCAGGCACCCAGAAAATTCCTAATACTACACAAATCACCTCAGATGGACAAGCAATACAAAACTACAAATGGAGAAATATAATGGCTAATACTCACACAAGGCAGCTGAGATCTGCCAGATCGTCGATAAAATCAAACAACTGACTGATATCATACGTGATCGAGGGGCTATTGGGATTCATTCTCTTCAGATGTTCTTCATACATTTTACAAACACCTAGGGAGAGAAAAAAAACCTCAAAACCTTATAACTGCATGAGTTCTACATGGTCATGGGGCTTGAACTCTGGGCCTAGGCATTGTCCCTCTTCAGCTCAAGGCAAGTGCTCTACCACTTGAGCCACAGTGCCACTTCCAGTTTTCTGGTGGTTTATTGAAGATAAGAGTCTCATAGACTTTCCTGCCCAACTGGCTTTGAACCTGGCTTTAAACCGCAGTCCTCATATCTCAGCCTCCTGAGTAGCTAGGATTATAGGCGTGAGCCACTGGTGCCGGTATTAATACTACTTTTGTTTCATTATGCCCAGTAATTAAAACTTCACAAATTCACTAAAATGTTGGTAGTGGCTCTGTGGCTCAAAGTGGTAGACCTCTAGCCTTGAGCACAAGAGCTCAGGGACAGTGTTCAGGTCCTAAGTTCAAGCCCATGACCTACAAAAAAAAAAAAAAAAAGGGTTAACACTGCACTATATAGGCAGACTGCTTGACCAGTATGCACAAAGCCCAAGGTTTGCTTCCAGTAACTTTTTTTGGGCAGTACTAAGGATTAAAGCCAGGGCCTCAAGAATACTAGACAAGTCCTCTATCACTTGAGTGATGCCCCTAATCCTTTTGCTTTAGATATACATGGAGTGAGATCCTCCTACCTTTTCCTCAAGGGTAGCTTGGATTATAGGTGGTATATGTACCACCATGCCACTTATTTCTTACTAACAGGTTTCAGTAAAATTTTTAGCTATAAAGTACATAAAGAAAAATACCACATTGGAATATGGGTAACAAATGAAAACTTTATATTCCAATCTCAAATTTCATGAGTAAGAAAAAATTCAGCCTAAGACAAGAATAAAGTTCCTACTAATAAATTTAACAAAGAAGCACAAGACTCTTGCTTGAAAATTACAAGATGTCACTGAAAGTCAAGACTGTGTCCATGGACTGGAACAGCATTAGGATGACAATGCCTACACTTTCCTCCTCTTATCACCTATATATGTATCAGTGCAATTCATGTTAAAATCTGAGTGGCTGGGGATATGGCTCCATACTAGAAGACTTGTATAGTAAGTGTGAGGCTCTGGGTTCAATCACAAGAGAGAGAAAGAGAGAGAGAGACACACAGACACAGAGAGAGAAAGAGAGAGGGGGGGAGAGAGAAGCAAAATTTATAAAAAAGGGAAACATCACCAGCTTCACAGAAATTATAAAGATATCATAAAACCTGAGCTGCTTTCACAGAAACTAATAAGCTAATCCTAAATGTGAGGCGGAAATGCAAGACACCCAGGATAACCTATATAATCCTGAAAAAGAACACTTTCCCATTTCCAAACTTACCACAAAACTACTATATTCAAAATAGAGTGATACTGGCTTAAGGACAGGAAAATGGTGATCAATAAAATGAAAATGAAATCCTTCATATTTATGGTCAATTGCTTCTCACAGTGTTATGTCAATTGAAAAGCTACATACAAGTGAAACATTATCTATTCCTTATAGCATGTATGTTCAACATACTTTATCATGATATTGTATATTGTATTGTTACTATTACATATACTATGCATCACATATAATATGCATTAAGTTACATTATAAATGTTATATTGTATTACATGTATATCCATTCAAAATGTTGTGAATAAAAGTAATTGCTGGAGTTGGGAAGGTGATTCAGTCATAGAGTGCTTGCCTTGCATGCATGAGGCCCTGGGTTCGATTCTTCAGAACCACAAAAGCAGAAAAAGCTGCAAGTGGCATTGTAGCTCAAGTGGTAGAGGGCTTGCCTTGAGCTGAAGAGCCAAGGGACAGCACCCAGGCTCAGAGTTCAGGCCCCACAATTGACAAATAATAATAATAATAATAAAAAAAATTGCCAAGGCTATAATAACTTTAGAAAAAACACAAGCATTAATTTTTGTGACCTTGGATGTGTACCTTATACTGAGACACCAAATATACTAGCAACAAAATAAGAAAATAAATTTTTTTGTGTTTGTGCTGGGGCTTGAACTGAGCCTGGAACTATCCCATAGCTTTTCTGCTCAAGACTAACACTCTACCACTCAAGCCACAGTTCTACTTCTAGCTTGTTGGTGGCTAAGTCACACAGGCTTTCCCGCTTGTGCTGGCTTAAGTCATGATCATTAAAGGGAACTTCAGGACGAAATGCAAATATGACAAAATAGTTTACTATTCTAAAATAGTGTTGACTTTAATGACAAGCAAGCATTGCAAAGGACTGGATTTGGACTTGAAAGTGTGAGGAAGTTCCCCGATCTCTAAAACTAGAGTAGAATTTGACAGCTTCTCCAAAGGAATTACACCAGCTATCCAAAAGTCATCTCTAATTACAAGTAGTTTTGTTTTCATAAGTATATAGTATCATTGTTCTACATTGTACCAATCAGTTTTGAAGATCAGCCTAAGAATAAATCCAATTTGTGAGATCCAATCTATGCTTTTAATGGTTTACCTTCAGCTTGTCAAATGTAGAATAAATTATACTGACTTGGTTTCATTATTCTATCCTTTGGGCTAACTTTTTATTTTCTAATATTCTGATGGGCTCTAACCAAATTTAAACAGCTTTTAATTTAACAGGTAGATTATTGGGCTCAAAAGACCATTCCCAAAGGTCTGCCTTAACAATCTAGTATTGGAATTTAATGACTATCTGAAATATATTTACATATTACAACACAACCAAACAACATAAGAAATAACATCTCGGGCTGGGAATGTGGCTTAGTGGTAGAATGTTCTACAAAGCATGCATGAAGCCCTGCGTTCCATTCCTCAGTACCACATAAATATGAAAGTGGTGCTGTGGTTCAAGTGGTAGTGTGCTAGCCTTGAACAAAAGCAGCTCAGAGACAGTGTCCAGGCCAGAGTTCAAGCCCTAGGACTGGCCAAAAACAAACAATCTCAAATGTAAGTAATTATATACAGGAGCTTGATTTAAACAGTAAAGTAAGCTGGTGCTAGTAGCTCATGCCTGTAATCGTAGCTACACAGGCATTCTGAGCATCCTAGTTTGAAGCCAGCTCAAACTAGTCTCTTCTGAGCAAAGAAACGCTTTGCTCAGAAAACAAACAAAAGAGCAACAACAACAAAAAGCTGGAAATGGAGCTATGGCTCAAGTGGTAGAGCACCAGCTTTGAGCCAAAGAGCGAAGTAAGAATGTGAGGCCCTGATCTAAGCCCTGGAATACCACACAAACATGCAAACAGTAAAGTAGCATTTGCAATAATTTTAATATATGAAACATCTAATAAATGGGGCATACTCTAAGTATCTATTTTCCCTACTTAAATTGACAATTCAAGAAACCTAGAGTAAAAAAGAAACCCAGATCCTAAATGAAATACATTTTTAGAGTGTATGGGGTGAGAACTGCAGATTTCTTCCCCTTAATTAGTGTTAGACTCACCTTCCATGCATTCATTCACAGATTCATAGTCAGCGTAAGTTCTGCCTTCTGGCCTCTTGGTAGGCTGCACCAGCAAAATGGTGTGAGACTGAAGGAGAAAAAGTGATTTGAGAAATTCACATGATATAAGGAGACTCAACAATGATTCAATGTTAGAATGTTAAGTAGATATTAGCAGCGGGATTCACAACTCTCCTGGTAAGGCCTCTATAGTCTCTGGTCCTTAATGATGATGATTTTCTTAAATTCAAGAGTACATGTAATATCTACAAGTACTCAGTACACAATACCACATTATTCTTATCATTTCTTCCTAACCAGATTATATACCTGCTAAGGTTTCCTGTCTCCATTGTCTCTTTTTATTTCTAGGCTTATTAAGACTCCAATAAAAAACCAGGATAAGGGAAGATGAAAGGGAAATACCATACCTAAGCACTGCAAGCACAATAATCAACCTATATTCTTTTTCCAATGTTAGTACATCAGTGGGGTCATTTTTTTTGCAAGGGTTAGACTCTTAACATCAAGGTATAAAATAAATTGGCAATATGAAATAAATACATATAGTAAATATTACCCTAAAAACCACCGAGAGTTAGGTATGGTAAAGTACATCTGTAATTACAGCATTTGGGAGTGGAACCTGGCCTGGGCTACAAAGTGAGTTGGAAGGCAGACAAACCGGGGCTGGGAAGGTGCTCAGTGGTAGAGCACTTGCCTTGCATGCCTGAGGCCCTGGGTTTGATTCCTCAGCACCACATAAGCAAAAAGAAAAAAGCCGGAAGTGGCACTGTGGCTCAAGCGGTAGAGTGCTAGCCTTGAGCTGAAGAGCTGAGAGACAGCACCCAGGCCCAGAGTTCAGGCCCCACGACCGGACCCCCCACCCCCCCAAAAAAGGCAGACAAACCCTGTCTCAAATTAATATTTAGAAAAGGGGAAGGATATAACCAGTAACACTTTGTTTGTCTAGCATGAATACAAGGTCCTAGAGGTCCACTCCTCATTACTGTAAAGAACTAAAAATGCCATTTACTATTTACTATTTAAGATGACTTGCCTTGGGGCTATTTTGTACCTATGTTACTTATTTTTCAATACTACAATCACAAGAAATGGCTAGATGGTCTTATCACCAAGATATGTGAACACACTGAATAACAGCCATAGTCTGAGGGCTTCTCTTCTATCCTTACCAGGGAGGTTTGTTTTGGTTGGTAGGTCAATTTCAGAGTTTCTGAGCCTTCACACTACTTCACTTTGGGCTGGATGGTTCTTTGGCATTATCCTACGCATTGAAGGATGTTCAGCAGCATTCCTGGCCAGTATCCACTAAATGCTACTATTCCCCCCCCCCCACAGTTTTGGTAGTAAAAAAAAAAAAAGCCTACAGACATCACTCAAGTGTCATGCCAGGGTTTAAGTCATTGGTCTACTGAAATTGTAACCCCCTCCCCATTTATTTCATTAGGTCGGCTAAGTGATAACATGATGTAACTCCACTATAAACCCAATCCTAAATCAACTATTTACAATTATTTTCTTTTATACTACTAGGTTTGGGCTTAGAAAAAAGAATTTTTTAGCCCAGCACCAGTGGCTCACACCTGTAGCTACCCAGGAGACAGACATCTGAGGATCACGGTTCAAAGCCAGCCTTGGTTTTAGGAAAGTCTGTGAAACTCTTACTTTTATCTCTAATTAACTACCAAAACGCTGGAAATGGAGCTATGGCTCAAATAGTAGAGCACTAGCCTTGAGCACAGAAGCTAAAGGACAGTGCCTATGCCCTGAATTCAAGCCTAGGACCGGCACAATAAAAAAAATTCATGACAGGATCCCCAAACTCTTGAAATTATCCAAGTTTCTATCAACAAATGCGAATGGAAATGGCTGACACCTAGACTTGCTGAAAGCAAGCAGAAAACAGCACTTTTTTAAGCACGAATTTTCAGCTATAACCTGAAGTGTTAATGTAATAAAACAATTTCAATACTGTTAACTAATGATTAAAAACCAGAGAAAATATTTCATTAATTTGTTGTAACCCTAACTATTAAGGAGGCTGAGATGTGAGGATTAAGGTTAGAAGCCAGCTGGGGGCAGTCCCTTACTAAGAGAGTGCTCTGAGTTCAGCTCCAATCTCATTTGCTGGGAAGAAAACAATGTCACAGGAAGAAACACTAGCAGTTTTTGAAACATGGCTTGCCCTAGACTTACACCATTTTATTCTAGTGGAAACGAAGGACTAGGCATTTAAGGAGTAACACATGAAAAGTTATAAGGCAGTTTTTCACATTTTATCTTAAAATGAACCTGTGGGTAAAGTTCACTATTTTCAATAGTTACTGCCCAAAGAAAAGGCTTAAAACTTACTAAAGATAGAAAATGACATTTAAAAAAAATAAAAGAAACTATAGCCAAATGGCTGTTTTTTAAATGGTGGTGCTTCCCTGTTACCAATGTGTGCTAGTCCTGGAGCTTGAGCACTGTTCCCGAGTTGTTCTGGCTACATGTTGAGCCACAGCTCTGCTTCTGGCTTTCCCGGCGTTTGGACTTCCTGTCCGAGCTGGTTTTGAACTGCGATCCTAGACCTCCCGAGTAGCTTAGGATTAGACGTGAACCACCGGTTCCAGGCGGTTTATTTAGTTTTTAAAAACAACCCTTTCACCTCACCCTCACCGTGCTCAGTCTCGGCCTGGAGCCCGAACTGAGCCCATCTGCCCAGTGTCCCGTCCCTAGAGAGCACAGGCAAAGGCTATGAAGAGGATCGAGGGCGGAAGGGAAGGCCAAGTGGGAGCCCTGAAGAGGAAAAACACTTTCTACGGACCCAACTTCCGAAGGGAAAGCGCGCCCTCCACGCCTTCCGCCACCAAGTGGAGGGCCGCCGAGAGCTCCGCCGAGAGCTCTCCGTAGAGAGCGCTCCCGGAGGCCCGCCGCGTGCCCGCGCAGCCGCAGAGCCGAGCCAGTCCGCGCGGCCTACAGCCAGGCCCCGAGCCTCCAAGGCGGGAAGGGGAAGGGTCGCCCTACAAGCCGCAGGAGTGAGAACCAGCACGCTTGCGATGGATCGTTAGGGTAAGAGGGATAAGAAGCTCTCGGAAGCCTTAGGTGGCGTTAAAGCCTTCCTCACCATCGCGCTAAACGCTTTGCTGCTGCCGCTGCTGCCGCCGCCGCTGCCGCCAACACCGCCGCCGCACACGAGCTCAGCTACAACGCCGCCAACAGCCAATCCCCGCGAGAGGTGCCGCCGGAAGTGGTCGGAAGAGCGACGCCAGAGAGCCTTTTTTTTTTGACCATAAAGATGCACACATTTCCGGTAGCTAGAGCGGTGATTGACTCCGTTTCGGCCATCTTAGGTAAGGGCAATAGGGGGTACTTCAGGGAACGTGTGGAAGTTTTAGAAAGGATAATTCATCCAAAGACGCCGCCTTCAGTACTTGAAGCTGTTAGACATACGCCTGAAGCGGGACACAGCGGGACGCAGTGGGACACAGCGGGGACAAAGCGTGAGACACAGCAGGGGACAGAGCTGGAGACAGTGGGCGACACAGCGGTAGAGTAGAGAGCGACGACGGTTATCTTTTGTTAGCCCTACTAAAAATGGCGGCAACCTAAGACTCCCGCCTTATAGGCTGGTTGTAACCCGGACGTGCCCTTCCACGGAGGGGGCGGGACACAATCCGGAAGTTGGTGTAATGAAGAGGTGCCACTTGGCGGCCATGGCCGCTGTGGTATCGGCGTTTCGGGGTCGGGGCCCGGAGGAGGGGAGTACCGTGGGCAACGTCGGGTCTAGGGCAGGGACAGCCAGGTGTCTGCTTTGCTGCTGAACCCCTAGGACTTGTCGTTAGGGAGCTGCAGGACGGCTTTGCCCATTCTAGACGCGGTGGGGACTTTGCTGGGGCCGGTGGGCTGGTCCCGACCCGAGGGGGGCGGATCACCGGCGTGGCCGCCGTCGGCGAGCCCGGGGTGAGCGGACGACGGCTTCGGCGGGCTTGTCCTCCTCCCCGCTGCCACCGGCGCGTTGGCTGTGTGTGGGAGGGGCGGCGGGGAGCGGGCCGTGGTACCGTCGTCCCCACGATCCGTGCACCATTGCCCCGTCTCCACCCACGAGGAGCTAGTGACTGTCATCCAAGAACCCACAGAACCCACGGACTGGCACTTAAGACTGGCTCAAAGTTTTCTCTGCTGCCAGTGTCGGGGGGGGGGAAACAAGGTGTGTGTGGGGGGGGGCGGGGAGGCAGCTGTTTCCTGGTGCGTTCAAGAGCAACGGGCTCCGTGAACACATCCGCGGTGGGGAGGCAGAAGCCACCGGAGAAGCCCACTTGTTCGCGGAACCCGCACACCTTTGGAAGTCACTGGAATTTTGAAGTCTGGCGGCGGTGGGTTGACTACAGGAGGGCAGAATGGATGATTTCATCTCCATTAGTCTGCTGTCTCTGTCTATGTTGGTGGGATGTTACGTGGCTGGGATCATTCCTTTGGCTGTGAATTTCTCAGAGGTAAGAAATTCTCAATTCTCTGTCGACTGTTAGGATGATGCCACGAAGTAGTGGTTACTTGTAAAGGAAAGATGCTCTTTTGGTTAAATCTCAGCGCCAGAGGGCTCATTAAGGAAGAGAATATGTTAAAGATGCAGGACATTAACCATGGAAACAAACTTCATATTCATCGCTGGAAATCTTAACTGGGGTGAGTGGAGAATGCTTCCACTGAAGGTCCTGAAGTATTCTGAATCCCCCCGAAATGGCATACAAGGCTTGCTTAGCATAACTAGGCCTTGGTTTTAATATCCAGCACCCCAAAAAAAAACACGTAGCAGTGACAACATAAACGTTAACTGAGGTTTAGATAGGACACTGAGACACAGGCAAGTTATATAATTTGGGCAAATTCATGAAGTACATTAGAATTTAAATTGAGATTTTTTTTTCTGACCCAGAGCAATTATTAACCACATTGTTCATTGTAGCAAAGTTAAGTGACCATGTTCAAGGTAGCCAACAGAGATATCCAGCTCACAGACTTCATTTGTTAGATTAACAACATGTCTGATTTTTTCGTACTGTTTTTTTTCCAGTGTGTACCTTCAAGGCAACAGCAGGTTGAGCTGGGGAGCAGCAGATTGTCAGTCCTCCTTGGCCTGTGAACTTGTGTTCTAAGTTACTTCTCTCCCTAGTGCTTAGTGAGCCAGCTGTTTTCCTCTGACAAAAGGAATATCTTATAACTGCATTAGAATTGGATTGACATTTTGTGGCTTGGGTTGATTGCATATTTAAAGACTTGACTTGAGGCAACACTTATAAAGAGTTATAATTCAGAAAAGCAACTCATAACTTATTTTTTATTTTTTTGCCAGTCCTGGGACTTGAACTCAGGGCCTGGACACTGTTCTCTTTGCTCAAGGCTAGCACTCTTCTGCTTGAGCCACAGCGCTACTTCCAGCTTTTTCTGTTTATGTGGTACTGAGGAATTGAATCCAGGGCTTCATGCATGCTAGGTAAGCACTCTACCACTAAGCCACAGTGTCAGCACCCATAACTTATTTTTTCAAGTAGTGTTTTGCTGGGTTGCCCAGTCTGATGAGGAACTCCTGGGCTTAAGCTGTTCTCCCCCCTCAGACTCTGGAGTAACTGGGACTGAAGGTGCACTTTGTTAAGACTTTTCGTTTCTAAAAAAAAAATTTATAACTTCAGTATTTTCTTAAATGATCGTCAGTGATTATTGGAATATGCAGGTATGTGCTGTTTTTTTTCACTAAAAGGAAATCTGTTATTAATCAGGACATTTATAAACATACTTGGTATGCCATATCATTTGTGTCTTTCCAGCTGATGGTCAAGTGGCTTTTTTTTTTGGTCTTGGGGCCTGAACTCTGGGCCTGGGCACTGGGTCCCTCAGCTCTTCAGTTCAAAGCTAGCGCTCTACCACTTGAGCCAAAACACCACTGCTGGCTTTTTCTGCATATGGGGTGCTGAGGAATCGAACCCAGGGCCTCATGCATGCAAGGCAAGCACTTTACCACTGTGCCACCTTCCCAGCCCTCAAGTGGCCTTTTTCAGTCATGCACTCCTCCCTAACTCTCTCCTTCTCATTCTGTCTTCCTGTCTGTACTGGAGTTTGAACTTGGCTGGTGCTCTTGGTGTAGGTAGCACTCCATTATTTGAACCATGATCAGCCTCTGTTTTGTTTTTAGGTTATTTTTTAGGTAGGGTCTGGCTTTTTGCCTGGGCTGGCCCTAGACCATAGTCCTCCTACCTGCACCTCCCAGGTAATTGTGATCACAGGTGTATGCCACTATGCTCAGTGTATTTGTCTGTCTTGCTAATATTTTGCCCAGGCTGGCCTGAAATGGAGCTCATTCTGCTCTCCATCTCCTGATTAGCTGAGATTACAAGTAGGAGCCACTGAGCTAGAACTTGACTAGAGTTTTCATCTGCTAGGAATGAAACATCATTTTTAGGCAAGTTACACTTCTGTTGTAGACCAGTGTATCACGAAACCAGCAAGATAATGTTTGTAAAAATAAATGCTGTTTGTAGGGACTTTGAAGCACAATTTCTATCCTTAGCAAATAGGTCCCTAAACTTATACACTGGCTAAACAACTTCGCTTTTTAAGGAAGTCTAGCTTTTCTTAGTGTTGAGTGTTAATTATAAATATGAAAAGAGAAGCCAAGTTCTGGTGTCTCATGCCTGTAATCCTAGCTATTCAGAAGGCTGAGATCTGAGGATCACAATTGAAAGCCAGCCCAGGCAGGAAAGTCTGTGAGACTTTTGTCTCAATTTAACACCAGAAAAACTGGAAGTGGAGCTGTGGCTCAAAGTGATAGAATGCTGGTCTTGAGCAGAAAAGCTCAGAGACAGTGCTCAGGCCCTGACTTCACACCCATGACTGACAAAATAAATAAAAATAAATAAATATGAGAAGAGGACCAGGCAAGCCTATTTGATTTTACCACTCGTTCTCATTTATATGAAAAAGAATGCTTTTTATTCATGTTCTTTTTTGGGGGGGGCGGGGGTCCAGTCGTGGGGCCTGAACTCTGGGCCTGGGTGCTGTCCCTCAGCTCTTCAGCTCAAGGCTAGCGCTCTACCACTTGAGCCACAGCGCCACT